CCTGTAAGTTACTGGACTGAATGATCCAACAGATTCATTTTCATATATACGACATGTACCTTTAAAGTGCAAAATTTACTACAGGATTCAGTATTTTAAGCATTGGAAATGGTACAATTCCCAGCTCTTCCTAGTCTGAAGTAAATTCAGTCTTTTAATAGAATAAAGTTGTTTGAAGGTTTCCCGCCTGTTGTTGCTGCTGAGGTCTACTGCTAAAGGACAGAATGACGCTATGGTTGAATCTTTAAATATAGTGAATAAATGCATAGAAAATAGAAGTTTTTTAAATATTACGAGTCAAGATTTTGTGATGAAAACTGTGGCTGTAACCTAGCTATTCAGTTCAGAGAACAACTTTCAATATGTGTTTCCTGTGGGCATAAGCACAATGTCATTCTTTAGGTAAGCTTCCCATCCGGAGGTTTTACACACTGAGGTCTACTGGAATAGAAACTTATCCTAGTAGGAGTTTAAAGAAATTATATGCCTTAGACAACAAATTGTACTTGAATGCATGAATGTTCGCTAGAAAATTCAAATAGGACCTTGTGAAGAAAATGTAGTCTATGAGGTGCTGAAACTAAATTATAGTTGTCAGGGATCCTATTACAGAATTCATTGCTCTACTTCGTTTATTCCTTTCGGTTGAAAACTAATGCTGAGGACCATCCAGACCTCCTCCATGTCAGAGACCACATATATGCAAGTGTCAAGTGATTTAAACAAAACGGAAAAAAAGTCCAGTCAGAAAATGGCTGTTCTGACTGTAAAAAAACAAGCATCAGAGACATGAGAGCCAATGTGTCCTCTGACAAAACTAGAGAAGAACAAGTTCCTTAATGCAGACTATTCTGAGATGACAAAATTGATAAACATTCTATGGAATCTCCCACAGAAATTAAAGACACAAATCCAGCACCCAGAGAAATACTTTTTGTAGAATACTTTTTAGTGAGATTCCCAGATAAACCACAATTGTGCCTTGACAGGCTTTCTATCTAAAGTTTTTGGTACTTTCACTTAAATGAATCACTTAGAAAATCACTTTACTGAAGAATATATTTTTAGTGACTAATGAGATTAATTTATGGTTAGGATTAAAGGGCAGACTAGTAAGGGTGACAGTGTCGTGGGTGTTTGCTACAGGCCACTGATCAGGAGGAGGAAGTGGATGAAGCCTTCTATAGGCAGCTTGAAGCAGACTCAAAGTCAAAAGTGCTAATTCTTGTGGGGTCTTTAACCACCTTGACATCTGCTGGAGAAGCAACACAGCACAGCACAAACAGTCCAAACAGTTTGATGGTTTGGTCAGCCTTTGTTCCTATTCTCTATTCTTTACTTTTGACTCAAAAGTCTTTGTTTTTCAGGGTTTTTTTTCTCCTGTATGTAAATAGCAATCTGATGTTTTGGATGAGTAAAGAAAAGGCTTAACTTGTGGTGTCCTTCTCCCACTGGAATTTTTATTTCAACTGCACAGTGGAAAGTATCACTCTTAGAGTAGTAGTTTCCTAGAGAAATACTGAATGTTATCTTTGAGATTCCCACCTGTAAAGTAACATTAATTCACTAGGGAATGATCAGATTCCAAAAGAACAGATGATTAATAGCCTATTGTTTCTGTGAACAACATACTTTATACATCTCCAAATGTTTGACCCAGTTTTTTTGAAAAGTAAGCATGAACAGGTTATGTTCCATTCCTCTAAATGCAAAAATAAATTCAAGTAAGTAAGCGACAATGATGAAGTAATTTCCTACATAGAATGAACTGTTGAGGGTACCTTGTGCTGATGAAATGTGATGACAAAGGGAAAGGTGTGTCATGGGTGGGAGTGGAAGGCTTAGACAAAATTTATCTTAAAAAGTCCTACCATTGAGTAACGAGGCGCAGAAAGGACTCCCTTGCTTTCTAAACTCCTTCTCAGAGACAAGTCTAGATTCAGGTGAATCCAATCTTAGCCTTGGATTGTGTCAATAGTTAAAATTTAAAGAATTACAGAGCTTTTATTGAACCACTTTTATCCCGTGTTTTAATGATCGACAAAATGAGAATATTTATATAAAATTAATCATTTATTATTATAAATGATCAGACAAAATATCTTAATCAGAATTATTTACTATACAATATAAAAGCTAAAACTACTAGTAGTATAGTATAAGATAGAGCAGTATATTGAAGCAATTATTGAAACAATTATATTAAATCTAGCAAAAAGAAATAATTATTAAGTAGAGATTGATGTAACTCACCCATACCAATGCTCATTGAGAGATCTCTTTCTCTCAGTCTTGAGGAGTATCCTTGGAGGGCATCCCCAGCCAAGGGAGGAACCTCCACACATACATTAGAAGAACCTGACTTCATGAAAGGGGACTGGACTTTTATAAGATGAAGTTATTGACTGATAGTCATAGATCTACAGGCCAGCAGACTAGCTTATCTGTCAAATCCTGCTTCAAAAGCAAGATGTGTATTTGAAGTCTGGTAAACCAGGCTGGTTTTAGCATAATTCAACACCAAGACAGCACCCTGGTGCCAGGAGTTAAACTTGCATGATGGCTTGCATTGTTTGCATTCTCTGATTGGATTTTAGGTCTTATGGGGTAGGCTCTCATGCCACAATGTGTCTTTCTACTAAATGATCATTTCATAGTAAATGAGATAGGGGTGTCAAGCAAGTTTTAGATTCTATAATGTTATCAGTATTGCCACTTCTGGATGCAGAAAGATGTGGTACTTACTTGTTTCTCTCACCTCTAGCTTTAGTTTAGGTCCTTGGAGCTGAGAGCCTCCCTCAGGCAAAAGCTGCCTCAGAAAGTGTGAATGCAAATACTACATGTATTTGCATTTTGAAGGGTAAGATGTATACTGTTCCTTTATGTTTGTAATGTCTGTCCTATTATCTTTGATTGTTGAGATATGAAAAAAATAATTTAAAATACATTAAAATTCTTGTAATTTTCACATAAGGAAATTTCAATTTCAAAAAAAGAAATAAATCCCTTCCTGTTTGGCTTTTTATCCACTTTCTGTGTCTCAGAAGTATATTTTTGATATTATAGCATCTGTTGCTTCAAAACAGTACACCAGGCAAGTATACAACTATGGGAATCCATAGGGAGAAGGTGAACCTACTGGAATAGGAACCATTCTGTCAGATAAGTGCTTTCAAAATAAAGATAACTCTATACAGATGCAACTTATTTTTATAAACATATAAGCACATGGCAGCACAGATTTTCCTTTTTTAATAGGTTCAAAAAGTGTACCATCTTATGTTAGTTGCACATGAGTGTCTCTCTCCTCTCTCAAAGAATTTAATATGTTCTGTATTTCTGAATATGAGTGGGTTGGTTTGGAGTAGATGAATTCTCTCTGCACTAAATACTAAGCATTGAGATGTAAGCAATAAATTTCACAACAAGTATTGTGCATTACCATTTCTTCATGCCAGCCTCTGGGTGTGGAAATCACAAGTCAGCACGAAATACGTGATTATCCAGAACAAATACAGTGTTCCAGAGGGTGTTTACATCCATCCTCACGCTGAAGAAGCAACCCGTTGACTGAGCAGGAAATTGTTTTCTTAGGTTTGACAAAACTTCAGTCTAAAGCAGTTTTCACTTCTCGTGTACCTCATTTGCATCTTGGAATTTGCATGATCCCACACGGATTTTTGTCCTCAGCAATGTGCTCTCTGTTGTCACTCCAGCATAGCTGTTTTCAGGCTGTGCCTACCAGATTACTCAACTCAGCAGATTTAGGTCTAGTGTGGAATTAGAAACAGCCTTATGTACAAGCGAGGCACTCAAAAGCTGGTGAACCGCTCCATGAAGGTGAACTTGGGCACACACAACAGGCAACACATTAAATTTTCTAATAAAAATGTAGACCCAATGGGGTATGAGTCATCTGAGTAAATACATATGCATACAAAGTAGACTCCTTATGGTTATTGAAGTGGGTACTTCCATGGCATAATCTCATCCTAATGTTAATGCCTAAAATAGAACTGAATTGTACTTTATATAGTTTTGGTCATTCATAATAAAAAACTTTGAATGATTAGCTCATACACAAATGCTGCCATTGTAGAACCAAGACATGAGAAAAAACCCCTACAGACACTGTAGATATCTTGATATCTAGATCATGAATCCCATATGGGCTGCTGAACATTTTAGCAGTTCTTAGGTTAAACAGTATTCTTACAGATAATTCTTTTGGATGTATGTTTCTAAATTCTACTTAAAACATACTGTAGGTACTGGAATGATTTTTTTATAGCTTGGCTTAATATAGGGGACTTTATACAGAACTATAGGGGACTAGCTAATTGCTATAGGGAAAATCCAATTCTAAACAATGAAGACCCAGAATACTGTAAGAAAATGAGATTTGGAGTCTTCCCATAGTCTGATTTAAGTTCCATTATCCTCATTATATCCTCTTTCTGAGAGAAGGAATTGAAATATATTCTGTTGGACATGGAGAAAAATATGTTTTATAAATCTCACTGAAAGCAAAACCTAGTCCTTAAAAGTTCTTTTTACATTCTTCAATATAGGTTAAATGTGAAATAAGAGTAGCTTCTTCAAAGTGATGTTACTGGTTAAATTTAACATTTTAAAAATTTGAATTTTACCTATATTCAAGAGGAGCTTTAGGTGGTAAAACATCTTTTATATTTCTGGAAGTCAAATGACACCTATATATCTAAATCTTTGCCTGTCTAAAGCACTTTACTACATTTAAGTGCTTAACTTATTACGTTTTCCTTACATTTGTATGGTTTCAGTCTGCCTTGTGAATTTAGTGCTTTCTTCTTGTCTTGGTTTTAACAATTCTATAAAGCAACCTAAGACTACAGAATTTCCTCATTCTTATTACTTTGTTCACAGTCAGATGCACCATTGCCATAGAAATAAGTAGAAGGGATAACATGTCACAAAGAAGCATAATGATCTGCTGGAGCTATGTGTTCTTTGTTCTAATTTACGTTCTAGTGTAAAGGCTCTCCAGCTCATCATCACAGTACAGCTGATTGGTTACAGTCTCATTACTGGACACAAGGTCAGTGTGACTCAGAAAATACTGCCCGAAGACTGTATGTAACTTATACTGGTTTCATTGCATTAATGTAAGTGGCAGAAAGTTAAATGATAATTTTTTCCTAAAGTGACTGCAGATAACATGTAACACCTTGCCCTGGACCAGAATCTTAATTAATTTTGTGGTGCCTATATTGCAAAATAGAGAGAGGTCAGAGTTCAATGGAAAGGAAAAGAGAGTAAAAAGTTCATTTTTTGCAGTTCCCCAGTCATAAAAGCATTCAGAGCATGATCATTTCCCATAGTAAGTTTCCAATGTTGTTATTGTCATTAGCTATATTGGCATCAATCTCGTTCATGGGCTAGCATACCACTGTATTAAAAAGTAATAACAACAATAATAAAAAGGTCTCTTCTGTAGAGAATCAATATTCTAAACACAAGGGATGAAACATGAGATAGGTACAAGCACTGGAAAAAAACCCATGCACATCAATACAACAGACAGTCCTGCTACCATATCTGTTGCCTGATTTTTTCCATTATTTTTTCCCCTTGAGATTTTAATAAAAAAGGAATTTACTTAAAGAAGATAAAGACAAGTACAATTGTGTACAAGTAGCTCCTTCCAAGTAGCAAAGGTATTTGGTTGAAAATTTTTCCTGATGGGTGGCAGAGAATATAATTGTGGTCTAGTCAAGGAAAAATTACTGGATAAAAGATGGATACAGAGAAGGGTGCTATATTTAACACAGTACAGAATGGGTATGCAGAGGGAGAATAGAGAATGAGGTGGATAATGGTTAAAATTTAAAGGAGTAGAAACAAAATATTTGTAACAGTATCTCTATGGTTATTAATAAGGAGGATTGTCTTTTCTAATCTGAAAAAAAAATCCTCTCAGATGCTGGGATGCAAGGTAGTGAGAGTTTTATCTTTGTGAATGGACAGGACAGGCTGTCTCTTAGATCTGTCACTAAGGCTCCAGGTCTTAAGAAAATCCTTTATATAGAATAAGAGAATGCTTTTAGCCAAAGATGGAATACAGGGTGAGGATGTTGACCTGCAGTTCTCAATAAAGAGCTAGCAAGAAATGTTTTTCAGTAGAAATAAGTCAATTTAGCTATAATGATTAGACATTTATAAAATAAATTTGGAGAAATCACTAATTTGAAAAAGCAACATTGGAGAAATTAATAATGCTCTTCTGCACCCCCCAAAAGCCTACCCTATGGAACCACTATCCAGACATATTCCAAGAGATGATGTCAGGATAGATGAATGTTTAAAGATTTTTATGCTGACTTTTTGCAATTAAACCACGTCTATGTTTTCTATATTGGGTATATTTTTGGTTTGTATTGTCATATAAGGTTTAGGTTGAAATCTTCAAGTGATCACATTACAAAAGACCTCAACTCTGCACAAAGAATCCTGACAAATAAAATCCAAAAAAGGGAAGAAAATTTTATGCATTTATCCCTGAAGTCCATAACAGCCATTTCCATAAATAATAATAAAAATCAAACTATGTCTGAAGAAAAATTAAACTAAGAAACAATACCAGTGCTCATCGTATTTTTTTGTTGAAGTGCTCACTCATAGATATTTTCCTGGGGAAAAAGGGATCTACCAGTAGAATGCATTTTGATCTTTGTTTGGGAAATATATGATTTTCACAAGACAGCCAATTAAGCCCCACTAAGATCAGTTGTGAAATATCAGCTGCCTGTATGCAGTGACCTAGAACCTGACATGATATGAATAATAGAGACTAAACAAAGAACACAGGCATTAACTTCTGAAGTGGAAAAAAAGAGCAAATTATATTTTAATTTATATGTACTTTGAATAGATTTGCCTGAAGAATTTTTGAGCTTAGGATAAAATGGAAATTCATTCACTTATCTACTTTGTTCTACTTCTCTGCATGGTGGCAGTCAGATCTATTGAGACTGGTTAAAACTAATGAATGAAAAATGTATTTGGCAAAGACAAGTCCTCTGTGCCATGTAATAACCTGCAAATAAATATGTTGTCTGAAAAAATAATACTTTTAAAATTCAGGTTAATTATTTAGGATGCTGATATCTGGTATTATGATAGTCAAATTAATATCTAGATTTATTAAATGTTGCAGTTCTAAATTGTGTAGTAGCATAAACTGATTTTATTATCCAACCTGCACGGAGTGGGACTTAAGGAAGATTCACTGACCTGAAAGATTAACTTGGCACTATATTGTTAATCTATTATAAAACAGCCAGTACTATTAGTAGGACAGGGACAGGATTTCCACACACAGGGAGGCCTTGATTGATAAAATCTGTTTAAATGTGACAGATAACTGACTAAAATAAATCAATGGAAATATGTTTTCAAGAGAACTGTGCAGAAAATTTACTGCATCAAGTGGCATATGACTGTATCAAGGTACGCATGTACTTGTGCAAGACAGGGAAGGACAGGGAGCAGTATTATCTGCCTGTCTCCAATGAGGAGTACCTGAACCTGAAGCCTAGATGTAAATGTGTGTGCTGTGCTCTTGAAGTAAGTGCATGTTAGAGCCCCAGAACAGGGGAAACACAGGGGTTGTACCAAGCTGTTGTGAAATATGCACATAGATGAGACTGACAGCAATGAACTGCAGAGAGGTGACCAAGAGGTCAGAGCAGAGATGGGAGAGAGAAAAAGCTACAAGAAGATGCAGGTATGGCCTGACTGCTTCTCCCCATCATTTGGCACGCAGAGGTGGAGAGGGATTCTGACAGACTTCCAACAGCACCCCTTTACAGATTCTTAGAGGTAATGCTAGCCAAAAACAGATAAGATAGGTACAAAGGAAGCAGAGCCGGTACAGCAGAGGCTTGCATCTTGGACACTTGTAACAAGATCAGTGTTCAGAAGTCTCTTTGAAATTTATTTACGCATGTGGCCTTTATGGTTCAGAAAAAAATTCTGGAATTGCCACTGGGACATAACTTGGGAAGTGCTCACATGGTGTGTGTGTGTGTGTGTGTGCACATGCATGTGCATGTCCACCTCAAGACAGGTTAGTAAAAATGGCTCTGAGGGGGTGAGCATCTCATTTCATGGCTTATTCAGGAAAATAAATTGGTGAGTTCACAAGTGTCACCTAACAAGAGGCATTCAGTTCTATACTCTAGTTGAAATGAGAGGAATAGACTAAAATAAATGGAACTCATTAACAAAACAAATACTGTGGAGGCTGACGTGTTTACAATTTTAATAATTTCCATATATAATTTAACTGAGAATTTCAGTATGATTTCATTTTTGTGTTGAAACAAAATGCAGATTGTCCACATGAGGGCATAATATCTGATGACTGTTGCTGAGGCCTCATATCCAGGTCTCAGAGACCTGCCTGTGGGATGCTGGCCATGCACAGAGCCAGCAAGGGCACTTCCCAGTACACAGCATTAGAGTAAATGATATCCCACTCTTGTGTGCACGCACACAAGCATGCACACACAGTGCTCTAAACCAATTCCTCTTGGAATCTGATGGATCCTCAACACTTTATCAAGCCAGGGATAAGCCCTGGTGAAGACACTGCAGGTACCTTAATACACCGGTACTGCTTAAGCTTTTAGAAAAGCAAGATTTCTGTCCCTTGTATCTTGTGATTCTCCTTCAACAAAACACGACATTTAATAAATGCTTTTTAAAACCCACTGAAGCAATTAAATCCACAGTTAAAGACCCTTTTAACATCTAAGAATGCTACAGAGCATAAGAAGTATCGTCTATGAAGTGTTTCTTTTGCAAATGAATTCCCAGCAATCAAAGAAAGCTGGATACGTAGCGGATGAAAAAAATAGCATACTTAGACCATAAACCTCAAGGTTGTTATTTACTGAAGTCTAGAAAATAACACACTTTGGAACAAATTTTCAGCAGTTATTGGAGTGGTATAGCTAAATTTTCATAAGCACCTTTGTGAAAATATAAATGCCAGAACATATAAAAACAAGAATTTAATCACTTTTTAAGTAAGATTGTAAATATTTTAAAAGTAATTCCATTTAAGTTCTAGGTTTATTGTACTAGAATCAAAACTTATTTTCCTTCCTAAGAGGTCACCTGCTAACAGACAAATTGCTGGGGTTTTTTTAATGCAAAAAATTATCTGAGTGCCTTATGAAACATTGACTATGAAACTATCTGAATCAGAGTTAACAGTAAGTAAATAACACCAGCAATCACTGTACTTGTGGCCTTGATTTTATGAAATAGACTTACAAATTTTAATGATTGAACCGATATGGCAATATAATTAAACATAATATTATACCTACAAAAGTATTATCACAGGAAGATTTATCACTTCACAGTGATAAGACTATTTCTTTATGATTTCATCATCTTTCATTTATGCTGTGAATTATAGTTTCAGTCTGACTGATCTGAATAATGTTTTACTGTTCATGTATAAAAGCAGATATATTCACATAAATATAATCTTTTGTAGATTAATGATTCAAAATTGTTAACAAGAAAATCGTGCTGAAATTCTGACATTTTCAAAGAAATATTTCCTTGGAAATCTCTTTTAGAAAATGTTGACATTTGTATTTTTCATTTTAATCATAATAAGAACAGATTCCAAAATGTCAGAATTTCCTACAGAATGGTAATTCTCTTTTCTGAGTCAAATAATGGTGACCAGAGCTGTATCTTCTTGGGACATCATATTCTCTTTCTGATGTGAGCTGTCACTGCTGATCAGTGACATCTGTTTGAAATCAGAAACATCATCTTCCCAAGACAGGGGCACCCAGTCAAAGTCTACTGTAAACTGTATTTACCCTACAGGCTGCTAATGGCATAAGTGGTACAGGTGGTAACTATTGACTGGTTTATCCCTAGAAGGAAGTGCAGATGGTGAATGAAATGACCAACAAATGATGTAAAGGGCAATATGAAAGGTAGGCACAAATCTACAATATGCGTTCCTGTGATCTTGTTCACCGGGAACAAAAGTCTGAAAATTAAAAGTCCCTTAAGAGAACTAAGAAATAAAGAATAGATGCCAATCTGCTATCCAAAGACACGCACTAGTAGACACTTTGATGCACCCCAGCTCCATAGTGTCAATGAGTTTCTGCAATGCTCAGAGGATTCCACAAGAATAGAAATCTCCATGTTGTCACCCCACTGTTTTCCTTTCACTCTGATGCAGAACTGATGAACACTGTCAGTGACTCAGATCTTACCCTGATCTTGTACAACATGATTTAATAACACCTGAAGAGAGCGAGAGCAAGAGCAGGAACTTAAAAGAGGTCATAAAAGAAAAGACCTTTGAATTACTCACAGTAGTTTTAGATCTTTATTACAAAAAGATAAGCCATTCTTAACATGCAGAACATTTCTTTACAGTATTATCTTGATAAAATCTGGATAACAGTATTATCTTGATAAAATCTGGATAGTTGGGTCCTTGTAGAAACGTTAGTCTTCAATCACTGCTCAATTTGACCTACTTCTGTGAAGTATGTAATTTGGAAGGTTATTGAATATCTGTAGAAAATGTTCTCTGTGATCATAGAGCTATAATGACTCATCATATATAATGACTTTTTGTGCCCATGGTGGTAGGGTGAAGGTACATGGGACCAGAATAAATCAGGGGGCCTCTCTGAAGTGCTTAGTACAATATTTCATTATTTCAGGTAACAGTACAATTTGATCCCATTTTCACATTCAGTAACTTGTATTTAGCAAAATGCTAAATTTGCTTCAAGCAGGTGTAAAACAGATACCAAAGAAAAATATCCCAGATAATTGAACATTGGAGTAATATGGTGTTGGCCATGAACACACTTGATATTGTTGCACACACATGATGCTGCTATGATCTAGTTGAAAAAATCCTATTGATATCTAGTAAGATATCCCTTGGTGCCATAGGTTATGTGTTTTACATTGGTTGGTTGAAGGGATACTTAAAAGCAAGAATAACATAATTCCTGGAATGCTACCCCATAATTTTAAATCTGGCACAACAGTTGGTTAAATTATGTCTATAAAAATCATAGGTATAGGTGTAGTACTGAAAACAATTACTGGAAAGAGAAGTGATAACTACCTATTGTATAGCAGAATCTGTTGTAAAACAAATAATTCTAAGCCAACGTGCCTGAGACCAACAGTATGAGGTTTAACAAGGCCAAGTGCCTGCCCTTGGGTCACAACAACCCCATGCAGCGCTACAAGCTGGGAGTAGAGTGGCCAGAAAGTTGCCCAGTGGAAAAGAACCTGAGGATGCTGGTCAACAACCACTGAACGTGAGCCAGCAGTGTGCCCAGGTGGCCAAGAAGGCCAATGGTATCCTGGCTTATATCAGAAATAGTGTGGTCAGCAGGACTAGCGAAGTGATTGTTCCTCTGTACTTGGTGCTGGTGAGGTGGCACCTCGAGTACTGTGTCCAGTTCTGGGCCCTTTGGTTAAGGAAGGATACTGAGGTGCTGGAGCAGGTCCAGAGAAGGGCAATGAAGCTGGGGAAGGGTCTAGAGAGTAAATCATTGAAGGAGCAGCTGAGGGAGCTCAGGTTATTTAGCATGAAGGAAATGAGGCTCAGGGGAGACCTTATCACTCTCTACAACTACCTGAAAGAAGGTTGTAGACAGGTGGGGGTTGGCCTCTTCTGCCAGGTAACTAGTGACGGGATGAGAGGACATATCCTCAAGCTGCACCAGGGGAGGTTCAGTTTGGACATCAGGAAAAATTTCTTCATGGAGAGGGTTATTAAGCATCAGAATAGACTGCTCAGGGAGGTGGTGGAGTCACCATCCCTGGACATGTTCAAGAAATGACTGGATGTGGCGCTTAGTGCTGTAATCTAGTTGACAAGGTGGTGATTGGTCAAAGGATAGACTTGATGATCATGGAGGTCTGTTCCAACATTAATGATTCCATGATTCTGTGAAAAACCTGTCGGTAAAATGAGGAACTACCAAAACCACAAAGGAGAAGGCTATTGATGATCTACAGGTCCTATTTCAAACTACTGGGGAACAAAAATCACTTTGATTGGAATTCACTGGCCTCATTTTTTTTTCTTGACCTCTTATGTTGAGTTAATCGTCATTTGATTATTAACTTGGCCAAACTAGAATCAGGGTGGAGCACAGCAGTCAACCATCAGCACAACCTTCCACTAGAGGACCATAGAAGGTTTTTTTCTCTCAGTAAACATTGATGGAAAGAAATGGTAGTGTAACACTTAAACTATTTTGGAGGTTAGCACACTCACTGAAGGTATGGAGAAAGAAAGAAAGAAAGATTTAATTATTTTATCCTCATAAAAATAATGCACAAATTTTCCAATCTTAGTTTCATAAAAGTGTTTATCTGTACCTCTGATAGATCTTTTCTGTCCTATGTCATATGGGAAGCCCTTCTTCCTCCTTTTCTTATGTTTTCTATATCTCATACCCCTCTTTTTGTAGTCCTTATTGTTTGGGTAATATAGTAATTCCAACAGAGGAATTACAATGCAGGAGATTGATTCCTCTCCTTCTGTTGTATACTGAATTCAAGTCTACAAACCACACTCTGGCTTCCCTATCTAGGAAAGATAGTCATACCACTGTATGACTTTCAGACTATAGCAACTGATACTCTTTACTGAGTTCTTGTCATAGCTCTGAGGTTCAGAAATTGCAGATATCCCTTAAATCATTCAAGATCAGTAGGAATGCAAATGCTCACTACCTTCCAGTATCAGGCTGGTTTAATTTAAAAGGGTATTTATTGTTACAGAATTTCTTCTGATTCTTTACTAAGTGTCATCATTTCAAGATCACTTTACTCTCTGCAGAAGTTTGGAAACATGACATTATTGTACTATAGACAGGCTGGAACAGTGATAGTATTTGATTTAACTTCCAAAAGATCTAGTTCCTGGGGGAAAAAAATTCCATCAATGTCTCTTGATATAAACATACACAGCAACAAAGATACAAGCTTGAACTCAGGAAGTCCCTAAGCTTTAAATTGCTGAAAACGAGAACAATGCACTGGAATTGTCATTTGTTTGTGCTGTTTTCATACTTATTTTGCAAAAGCAGCCATCATTTGTCTGCTATTAAAAATTTGGGTTGATCAGATTTTTAGTCTGTCCCAGCATGGCTGTTGCATTATTTTGGTAAGTGCATTGCATTGTCATATACTGTCATCTTGTTTTTTCAAGGAAAGCCAGTAGAAATATAAATATTTGACTCTTACAAGATTTGCAGTGAAGTCTGTTTCTCTGAAATGTTTCCTTAAAAATGATTGTTGGGTTAGAACATTAGCTTGTTCTCTTTATTACCTGATATGAATGCAACTAACTTGTGTGCATACTATTAGCAGCATCAGTGGACAAAGATATACTTCAGTACAAATGAAAAAATTCTCAGCAGCCCACATATCCTAACTTATCCTGAATATTCTTTCAGCTGATGTAAAATGCAACCTAGAAGTTTAAAGGCAATAAAACATAAAATAGGAATACAAACAAGTTTACTGATGACACAAAGCTGAAAGGAGTGGCTGATATCCCAGAGTGTTGTGCAGCCCTTCAGAAGGACTTCAACAGGTTGAAGAGATGGGCAGAGAAAAACTGTCTGAAATTTAACAAAGGCAAATGCAGGTCCTACAACTTGGGAAGAATTACCCCAGGCACCAGCACAGGCTGGGGGTTGACCTGCTGGAAAGCAGCTCTGCAGAGAAGGACCTGGGGGTCCTGAACAAGCTGTCCATGAGCCAGCAGTGTGCCCTGGTGACCCAGAAAGTCAATGGTATCTTGGGCTGTATTAGGAAGAGCATTGCCAGCAGGTCAAGGGAGGTGATTCTGCCCCTCTGCTCAGCCCTCCTGAGGCCACATCTGGAGTGCTGTGTCCAGCTCTGGGCTCCTCAGTACAAGAGAGACGGGGAGCTCCTAGAGCAGGTCCAGCAGAGGGCAACAAAGATGTTTAAGGGACTGGAGCATCTCTCTTGTGAGGAAAGGCTGAGGGAACTGGGCCTGTTCAGCTTTGAGAAGAGATAACTGAGAGGGGATGTCATCAATATCTACAAGTATCTGAAGGGACGATGTCAAGAGAATGGATCCAGGTTCTTGTCAGTGGTGCCAAGAAATGGGACGAGAGGCAGTGGGCAGAAACAGATGCACAGGAAGTTCCACCTAAATAAGAGGAACAACTTTACTGTGTGAGTGACTGCGCACTGGAACGGATTGCCCGGAAAGGTTGTGGAGTGTCCTTCACTGGAGATATTCAAGAATCATCTGGACAGAATCCTTTGCAATGTGCTCTAGGATGATCCTGCTTGAGCAAGGAGATTGGACCAGATGACCTACTATGGTCCCTTCCAACCTTACTCATTCTGTGATTCTGTGGAGTTCAGTGCTCCACACAATGGAGGAGGCCAAGATCCTCTGCAGACAGAAATGCATTATGTAGCATATATATACGACACAATATAGGTTATATATTGTTTACAGGTAATTTTTTAAAATATATGACTAGGCCTAATGACTGAGATAGCTCAATGGGACGAAGAAAATCACTGGACACATTGTAAGAAACCACTGGATGTGGCAGTGGCAGAGCAGAGAGCAAAAAAATTTATAGGTAGTGACATGAAGCTGTCTGCGTCCACGGGTGTATAAGAGGAAATTACGGGAAAGACGGTCAACTTTGCAGATAATGGGGGCTCAGTGATATTTTAGGGATTAAATTCCGCAAAGATCAGCAATGCCTAGTGCAAAGGTATTAATGCTAACACGTAAGGGAGCACCAGTGCAACAGGCATACTGAAACTGGGATCAGTGGTGGTACAGCAAGTATCAGCAGGTTGTTTCTTTGAGACTGGGAGTGGGAAAAGGGAAGTACAGAGGTGGTGAAAAAGGGGGTCAAAACCCAGGAAAACAGAGAACAAAGTCTGCACATTTCAACAATTGATACTGCTGTTAGGGCCACATGAGTGTTGAACCTATTTCTGCAGTGAGGAGGATGGGAATGGTCTCCCTGGCTTGCAAGGTTAAAACTTGGACTTGATGGATTGTGGGATCTGATTCACTACATCAGTGCCTGTTTGAGCCTGGTAGGCAGCTGTTATGATCCATTTATAAAGAGATGACTGCCTAAATTAAGATGCAAACGAGACCATACGGCAAAGTCAAGAGTATGGATTTTATTTAACAGTAAGTGTGAGGTGGAGAGATAGAAAGAAGTAGGAGAAGGGATGGGGGGAGAGAAAGAGACAGGTTAAGTAGAAAGATATCACCACCCTGTGGATTCTGTGGCATCCTGCTGGTCCTTCTTCACCCTGGTCTTCTCAGAGGTGGCATCCCAGAGTCATTCTTTTGGGGTATCACCTTTATACAGTCCAAGTGCCAGGTATCCATGGGATGTAGATGCCATTCCCATAACTTGAGATGGCATGCACAACTTGTTTTCTTTCCCACTGTTTGACACTGCAAACTTTTGTCCAGGTAGGTTACCCAGATCTGCCTCACCGGGCCTGGAATTAGCATCTTCCTGTTGTTGCTGTCTGAGTTTATCTCAAGTTCCCACAGTCCACACAGTGGGAATTTTTTGTTCAGCGGCTTATCTTACAGCAAGTTCCTTCCGTGGCTTTGACAGTGTTTTGAGACAAGAAACTGCATTCTTTAACTCCTGACAGCGGCATCAGCATTTTCCCAATAATTGCCTAATAGAAGTAATTGGTAAAATATTCAGTAAAAACTTCTTTGGGGCCAGTGGGAAGGTGAAAGTGGAGGCAACAACGTCTGTTTCCACTTGCTAAATAAATGATCTGGTTAAATTGCCTTTTTATTTACCACTTGCTTAATGGGGCCTTCAGTTCATTTTTCTAGCATTGCTTTCTGCAGAAATTCATTACAGTAAATAATGTTGTGGGTTTTTTCCAGGTTCTAAGTTATAGCCCATGTCATTTTCTAAAATTCACATCTCATAGGCTGAAGTCAGATAAAATAATATGCTCATATACCTACAATTTTCATATGCACCCATCCTCAGTATATACACAGAAAACACAAATGAGTATCAGCTGCAGTAGTTTTCAAAAAAGTTTTCAAAATTGACACTTTTAGTATCATGTGCTTGCATACAATGACCTGACTAAATATAGATTTGTCTATATATTCCAGGTTATATTAAATAATCTACAATCCAATCCCTTCCCTTTTCTCAAACTAAGAAAGTGACAAGTGCCTGTATTTCCCCATATTTGCCTGGACTCTTACTATTTTCTTGATTCATCCTTCCTATAAGAAAATAATTACTTCAAACTTCCAGACTTCAAGAGCAACATGGCAACCACCACTTGAAAGATTACTAAAATATAATCACATATAACCATAATTCTACTGGATATTTGATACTTTATATCAATTAACAAATGAAGATTAAAGATATTTGCATAGGAAAATAGAGTAGATTCACAGCCCTGTGCTACTCAATAGTCAGATTCTGAATTGCATCAGTACACATGAATACCTTTTTCCACAGGCTTTTCTTCTCTGGTTTAATTGAAAAGGCTTGGAGAAAGTTTGTTGTGCGTGTAGATTGTGAAGGTAGTGATAGGATATTAATGATATTTTTATGCTAAGCATGGCAGTGATTTTTTCACTGACCAGCTGCAAGGCATTTTTTCGCTAGGCGATGCAGAGTGCTCACAAAACACAGCTGATAGCCTTTTCACATCCATCTGGGGTCTGCTCTGGCACTGCTTTCTTTGTTACAACTTAGGGACTTTTCACAGCAAAACTGTGGCCCAAAATGGTCTTATTGTCATTCAGTTCCCTCTTAAAGTTCTGTTTCTTCTCTCCCTCTTTTACTCTTTACTGTGGAAATACTTGACATCCTTTCTATGGAGCTGCTCATTTCACGCCAACAGAGAAAATAGACTTGGCAGGTAGTTTGGCAACAATTGTTCATATCCAAACAGTAATTGAATTTTGTTTGCTGTCATAATGGAAGAAGCCAACACCATGCCGACAATGGGCACCAAATTACATTACTCATTTCATTGCTTATGCTCCAATCCACTTATCTGGATATAAAACTCTACAAGTTACATAGGTGGGAAGGGTAGAGAGAAGGAAAAGACTGAGGACTCAGCATGACTGTGACTATATGAGGTGGCTTGCTGCTGTCAGATTAAGAACTAGAGCTGTTTTCCCCTTTTTCAAATTCTTTCCCAAGAAAATACACTGTGCTTTGATTTCAGACAAGCATTTTTTGCTTGTTTCATATTATCAACTCTACAATTTTCAGGGCAATAATTTCAGATTACTGTCTGGGGAACCTATCTGCAATATTTATTTTTCAATGGGCCAGACACTCCATTTTGGCAACTGTGTGGAACACCAGCTGGGAATTGTGCTCAGTTTTTCTTAATCACAAGCAGTGTAATTGACTCTGTATGTAACACAAGAGACACTTTTGTGTCTGTTACAATATGACACTTGCCACCAAGATTTTGAGGGTTATTTACTGACACTTCTTTCAGATGTGAATAACAATAAAGCAAGGAGTGACAGTCCTGTTCCCCCACCCCTAGTCCCTAGAGTATTCTTAATCCCTGCTAGGTGTGTTAATTGTTTCAATAAATTAACAGGGACCACTAGAGACACAGTTAGAGGGAGGAGAGCAGACTGAAGTCAGGACACACATTTCAGTGTCATGCACACTTCTGCACAAGTGGATGTAAATGGATCCTACCTACATCCATAGGTGAGAACAGAACAACCTGAAAAGAGGAAGAGTACTGAGAGGAAAGGAAAAAGTCTCTCAAGTGCTGACAGACTCTGAAAACTTGTCATCCTGCTCTCTCCTCAAGAATGGAAGACTCAGATCCTGCTGAGTGTGTGTAAGGCCACCAGGCCATGCTGGCACCAAGGAGGGGGCTGTGCAGCTCAGTCCACATCTGAGGTGCCAGTGGCAGCTGTGCAGAGACACCAGCTCTGCATGTGCTGCTGAGGAAGCCTGGGACCTGTGAGGGACTCTCTGTACACCTGCCCAGAGGCCACTCTCACACCAGTGCAGCTCCCTGGTGAGTGAACAGCTGGGCTGGACTGGGAGTGATGCTGGCATGTGTTGCAGTGTCTGTGTGATAGTGTGTACCTGTGGGGGTGAGAACAGGGGGAGGAAACAAGCAAATATACCATGCAAATATCTGCTTTTAATAATGCTGCCTTCATTCCTTTAATAGTAACAATCTAGCAGAATATACTCCAATAAATATTTTTGTGATCTGTTTCTCCCCCCAACTCTTTTTTTCTATCAATGAAGGGTGTGTGAAACACACACACACATTTTGTTATGTGTACAAGAGTTAAGAGTTGTTTGCTGCAGTAAGCATGACTGCTAGAAAAAATTTTAGGAGTTTTGGGGAGGCTTTCCAATGCTTTGTAGAAGTTGTTACACTATTGAAAGGAAAAGTTTCAGGTTAGCACTATAACTGACTTAATATTGTGAGTTAGAATTTAACTGACTTCACTGAGATTGAAAGGAAGTCATTTAGGACAGGAATTGCTGGTAAGTGTAATGGATGCATTACAAGCTGGTTTCAATTTCCTTTATTGAAGAAGTTGTAAAAGCAACACCATTTCAAAGTAGA